CACAAATTGTTGTATACAACTGGAACAATGAAAGAAGAAGTGTAGGTAGCTCCAAGGAGGTATGGAGTCTGGAAGTGGGGGCTGGTTGGTCAGTGAAGCTTCCCTGAGGGTGTCATTCAAGTTGTGCTCTCGAAGACCCCGGGGGCAGAGCAGATTACAAAGCAGAGGGGGGCAGTGCAAAGACCTAGGGGTAGGAGTAGCCTGGACCATTGTGTGCCTGGAGCTCAGGAAACAAAGAGGAGGAAGGTGGAAATTGAGGCTGAAGAGCCAGGCAGGGGCTAGACGGATCAGGACATTACAGGCCCAGTGAAGAGATTTGAATTAATTCTGAGAAAGGTGGATGAGCTTTGACAGGGTCTAAATCTGGCGGCAGGGAAGGACACAATCAGACTTGCTTTTTAATATGATCAAAATCTGGGAATTAATGTGAATATCCACAAAGAAGAGAGCAGAAAAAAAATAGTGGTTCACTCACCCCATGGAATATTACACAGGAGTGAGAACAAGCCAACTATTGGCATCTGCAGCCGCGTGGATGAATCTCAAAAACTTTATGTGGAGCTCAAGAAACCTTATGCAGGGGCACCTGGCTGGCTCAGTGGGTGCAGCATGCAACTCTTGATCTTGGGGTTGTGAGTTCCAGCCCCATGTTGGGTGTAGAGAATACTAAAAAAAAAAAAAAATAATAAACTTAAAAAGAAGAAGAAGAAGAAGAAGAAGAAGAAGAAGAAGAAGAAGAAGACTTACCCAAATAAAACATACAGTGAACTCCATTTACATGAGGTTCTAGAACAGGGGTTACCTTGTCCCAAAGGGGCAATAGTGATGAGCCCCCACTATCTTCACACAGGCAATAGTTACATGTGTGTACAAATATGTGAAGAATTATCCAGCTATAGAGGTGCCTTGGTGGCTCAGTCGGTTAAGCATCCTACTATTGATTGGGGCTGAGGTCATGATCTCACAGTTCGTGAGTTCGAGCCCCTTGGCGGGTCTGACAATGCAGATAGGGATTCTCTCTCTCTCTCTCTCTCTCTCTCTCTCTCTTTCTCTCTCTCTCTCTCTCTCTCTCTGCCCCTCCCCTGATCGCGCTCTCTTTCTCTCAAAATAAATAAATAAACTTAAAAAAAAAAAAAGAATTACCCAGCTGTATACTTACATATTTCACTACGTGTACATTATTAAAAAAGGAAGTAGGGGGTGGGGAGAAAGAAGAAATGTCACTGTGGCCTCTGTGTAAAGCAGGACAAGACTCTGGAAGGAGAGAGAAATGCAGCAGACCAGTGAGGATGCTGGACAGTCCTCCAGGTAGGGAAGAAAAGCATCCCCGGACAGCAGGGAGCTGGCCAGGCACCCACAGCGAGGCCATGGTGTTCTGTTACACCCTAACACAGACGGGGCCACACTGTGACCTGGGGGAGCGAGACACTCAAGACCGCTGCATTACCGTGTCTGAATTCAGAAACAAACAAGAACATTGTGCAAACCACAAAATGACTAAGCGTCCCCATATCCAGGCCAATATAAGTGACTGCTATGTTATGGTATATTATACTGTTATGTTATAGTATTTATATAGATTATGTATTATTTATATTATATACTATATTACATCATTATATAAGTTACATCTCTCACCTTCCTTTGTTTCTGCCGGCTCAGATGATTTATCTCTGCCGGGAAAACAAGCAGCTGTGTTCATAAAAATATTCCCTGTTCCCCAGACCCTGTTCAGCACCCCCATTCCCAATAATGACTAGCGCCTCAGTCATATAGGTGGGGTCACTTGGGATCATGCTGAGACTCACAGAGAGAAAGTGAATGACTACTTCTGAAGTCATCCAGCATGGGCCCCTGCCTCTCAGCCTTGAAATCCCAGCCCCGCTTATGGTTTGCTGTGTGACCCTGAGAAAGTGTCTTCACCTCTCTGAGGCTCTGAGATATCTGTTTTATAATAAAGGAAGGAGTGTCTTTCACGGTGGGATGAGGCAGTGGGCAAAGTATCAACTCTGGCATCAGACAACCTGAAAACTGAATTCTGCCTGCGCCCTCTTGCTGTGTAACCTTGAGCAACTGGGACTCCCTCTCTGAACTTCAGCTGCTTCCTTTGCCAAAAGGGTCTGAAAACCCCTATCTCCTGAGACATAGAATGAGGCAGGGTAATAATACTGTAACTATTGTGCGTTCAGGAGCAGGAGGCCCTGTAGGCCCCAACCGCGTGGGAGAGTTTCAGGGAGGAACCCCAGCTGGCCAGACCAGAAGAACTAGCATCTTGGGAGGGAGTGGTACCCAAGGGTGGGGAGCCTCCTCTTGCTCAGGCCTGCCTGGATCCCGGGCGCTGACCCCCACCTGGCCCAAGACCAGAGAGCCGAGGGAGGTGTGAATGTGGGGCCTCCACTTACTCTTCCCTGCTCCTGTTCACGGAGGTCACTGCAAAGTGATTTAGAATCTGGTTCCCCAGAGAGGTGGACGCAGGGGTCAACGTGGAGGCAGCTCTCCGGCCGTGGAGGTCATGCCTGGGCCTCAGACAACCCTGGGGCCCAATTTACTATGTTTTCCTGTCCCCTGGGCCAAGGCAGGCTCGGAGGCCAGTGGTATTCCCAGCCTGTCTCAGACCCACTGCCTCTGGGACACACACTTTGGGAAGGGGTGGGGTCAAGGGGCAGGGCTGGCTACCTAATTTGTGAGGCTTGGTGCAAAATGTAAATAGGGGGACCGGGTTCAAAAGGCAGGAAAGATTGCCATTAAAGGTACTAAAACAGAATTGCATTTTTCCTTTCTTCTGACATCTTTCTCCACCCCTCCTGGTGTTCAATGTCATGTTCCCAAAGACAAACATCTTGGGCGCTTGAGAGCCCAGACCTTCCCAGGTACCTACAGACCCTGTCCCGCAACCAGAGCGATTGGTTTGCTAGGCTCCCCTTCTAGTGTGCAGCTGCCCGCTGCCATGCCCCACCCTGAGACGCCATGAGGCACAAGCGCATGGCCCTGATTGTCCCAGGTGCACCCAGGCCCTGCGGAAGCTGGAGGGTGGCAATGATCACAGAGCAGGGGCAGGGAGGGTAGGGCAGACAGAACCTGTCCCAGGGAGGTGGGAGGTGGCAGGAGGTGGAACCTTGTGTGAGCCAAGGTTCCAATCCCTCCAACTCAATGCATGATATCCCTTCCTACCTCACCTACAAAACACAAATTCAAAAAGAAAATTAAGGGGGCGCCTGGGTGGTTCAGTTGGTTGAGTGTCTGACTCTTGATTTCAGTTTAGGTCATGACCCCAGAGTTGTAAGATTGAGTTCCGCATCGGGCTCTATGTTCATCGTTCAGTATAGAGCCTGCTTTGGATCCTCTCTCTCCCTCTGTCCCTCTCCCCCACTCATGTGCTCTCTCTCTCTCTTTCCAAAACACACACACACACACACACACACACACACAGAGAGAGAGAGAGAGAGAGAGAAAATTAACAATTCCAGCTCTTGTGAGCATTCAGTTTGTAGAGGGGCTGGGAATGGATTGATCCAAGAATCCAGATGTCTCGCACCTGGAGGTGAAGGCCAAGGGACACCGGGGATCCCTGAGGGCCTGAGGATTGGGGTGTTTGCATTCCCAGGACTCAGGAGCACCACATCTGGATCCTCAAAAAATCCTGCAATGGGACACCTAGGTCCTGGGGAAATGGGGACCAGAGGGACTGAGTACCTACTTCCAGAGGTCTTCCCAGTGGGTGAAGACCTGTCTCTACACTCTGGTGAGTGGTCCACGCCAGAGTGATCCCAGGGGACTGTGGATCAAGGAGGGCTTCCTGAAGGAGGAGCACCTTGAGGAAGATCTAAAGAATGAAGAGCCCTTTGTCTGACTGTTCTCCACTGTCCCTCAGTCCTCAGCAGCTCTTTCTCGTCAGTTTATTCAGCTAGCAGACATTCCTTCAACACCTTGTTTGCACTTAGAGCTTGTGCCAAGGACTCAGTAGTGACCCAAACAGCCCCAACCCCTGCCTCCTGGGACTCCCATTCAGCACAGGAAGACACGCTCATCAGCAGTGAGGACCCAGTGTCTTCAAAGCTGTGATGGGAGAAGCACAGGCAGAGTGATCAGGGCTGGCACAGAGGAAGCCCAGAGGAAGCACCTGTCTCAGCCCGGAAAGTCAGGGAAGGCGTCCTGGAGAAGGAACCACCTGAGCTATGACCTAAGTGATGAGCAGTAGGGTGGACTGAGGAAAAGTGCCTAAGCAAAAGGAACAGTATGAACAAAGACCAAGAGGTGAAAGGGAAGCATTTTTCCTCCACTTTCATGGAATGAAACGTGTCCTATGGTGCTGAGGACATGGCAGTAACCAGGACACCTCTGGTTCTGACCTCATGGGACTCCCAGTCCATAAGGGACGCAGACCCATTACCAGTGATGACCTAGGGTGTTCAGGGATGGGAGAGGGGAGCTCAAAGTGGGATGCCTGGCCCAGCTGAGGGAGCCACGAAGGGCTTCCTGAAGGAGGGGACATCCCAAAGAAGACCTGAGGAAGGAGGAGCTAGCTGGTCAAGGGCAGGGTACAGGGAATAATTATGTGCCAAGGCCTGGAGGCCAGGAGCCTAGAAGTTCCTAGAAATTGCCAAGAGCTCAGTCAAGTCAAAAAGGGTGGAAGCGGGGGGGGGGGGCGGGTCCCACAAACTGAAAATAGCAAAATTACCAAAGACTAAAGACGCATGCCTCCCCACCTCCTTCTCCCCGCCTTGACCTTAATCATGAAGGCCTCCATTCCTAAAGAGAGGAGAACCGGCCGTGGGATGCTTCGCGCTCAGAGATACCTATAACTCGGACATCCTGCCTAGGAAGGGGCCCGGGACGCCTGTGCTAGAAACCACGGCAGCAATCACTGTTTTCCTCCGTGTTTAATTCGGTATCACAGGAGCACCAATAAATAGTTCCTTCCCGCCCCTGCAATCTTCCTCCTGCCCTGGGCAGGGCCCCTGAGGCTGGCTTCCCGTAGCGGGAAGGCACCTGCAGCCCCAAACGCCGCGGCTCGGGCCCGCCGAGCCGCGGCACCTGCAGGATTCCCGGAAGTTCCGAAGGGGCGGGCCCGCGGCTTTTCGACAGCAGGCGAGGCCGCGGGCGGGGCGGGGGCGGAGCCTCGCCAGTACGCCCCCCGGGAGGGCGGGGCCCCTCAGGGGGCGTGATTCTCGTCCGCGGCGGTCACGATGACGTCCATCCAAATGCGCATGGCCTCGGGGCTCGGTGCCACCATGTAGAAGAGGCGTTCGTAGGTTTTCACGCAGAACGTCAGGCGAGGGTTGGGGCTCTGGAGTAAGCAGAGTGAAGGTGGTTACGAGGGCATTGGGGTTCGAATCCCAGCCTTGCTACTTATGTGCTGTGTGGCACTGGACACGTTACTTAGGCTCTCTGAACCAAGTCCCCCATCTGTCTTCGTAAATAATGCTACCTACCTCACTGGGTTATGAAAACCAAACGAATTAACATTTGGAGGCTTCGAATTTGGGGAGCAGGAGGAATTTAGATGGAGGACTCATGTCCCCTTTGTAGTCTACCTTATATATTAGAAATACAAGCTTTCAAATTTCCCCTTTCCAGAATCTAGGTTCTCCTGGTTTGTCACTGGGGAAAACTAGTATCTACACTCCATTTATTAAGTACCTACTTGCCAGCCCTGAACTGAGTAAATCCCTTACGCCCATTGCCTGCTGTTAACCTTCTCAACTCTGAGGAAACGGGGTTGAACTATGCCCATTTTGGAGGTGAGAAAAATAAAGCTGGCTAAGGGAAGTCACTTTCCTGAGGTCCCACAGCTGGGGTTCCAATCTAAGCTCTAAAAGGCCATAGTCAGGGCGCCCGGGTGGCTCAGTCGGTTAAGCGTCCAACTTCGGCTCAGGTCATGATCTCGAGGTTCGTGAGTTCGAGCCCCGAGTCGGGCTCTGTGCTGACAGCTCAGAGCTGGAGCCTGCTTCAGATTCTGTGCCTCCCACTCTCTCTCTATCTGCCTCTCTCCCTCCCTTCCCTTAAAAATAAACATTCCTAGGGGCGCCTGGGTGGCGCAGTCGGTTAAGCGTCCGACTTCAGCCAGGTCACGATCTCGCCGTCCGTGAGTTCGAGCCCCGCGTCGGGCTCTGGGCTGATGGCTCAGAGCCTGGAGCCTGTTTCTGATTCTGTGTCTCCCTCTCTCTCTGCCCCTCCCCCGTTCATGCTCTGTCTCTCTCTGTCCCAAAAAAATAAATAAACGTTAAAAAAAAAATTAAAAAATAAATAAATAAACATTCCTAAAAAATAAAAGGCCATAGTCGGTTGCTCTCCAGAGCTCTCTAAATACTATACCAGTTGCCAACATTTACATTTCTGGCACTGCACTTGTACAAGTTTCGAATTCCTGAGTCCTCTAGGGTAATAGAGTATGAAGTGACACCATGTGGCCCATTCCCATTTGGCAACTATGGGCAGAGGCTGAGAAACGATCATCTCCTTAAGATGGTCCCAGGCCGCCTGGGTCCTCACCCTGCCGTCTTCAGTCATTTATTCCTTCCCAGCTTGGCATCAGAGCCTGCCAAATTTTTGCTCTAGGTCTTTTTTTTTTGCCCCAAGACAAGTAACAGTGGCAGAGAGCCAGAGACTGGGCTGTTAATTTTTGGTTGCTACAGTGAGATTACCGGTGGGCTCTTGTGCTGGGTAGAGTACCCTGATGGTGCAATCTCTGGGTGGCCTTTCCCAGGGACAAGCTAAGGTTTGACTGCAGGGGCTCTGACCAGGAGGGCAGGGGGGTCCCACACGAGGGCTTCACCTTGAAGGCACAGCGTAAGTGGTCGTAATAGACTTCCTCTATGGCCTGGAAGTAGATGACGCCTTTGAGCTTGGTCTCTTCCTTGTCTGATGGAGGGAGGTGAGGGAGAAACAGCCAGTGAGAGGTTTGCATCTGTGCGTCAGAGCGGGGATGGCCGGACCCAAGTCCAGAGACTGGTGCTGGGGTGAGGGACTGGTGACAGAGTCTGAAGGTCCCTAAAATACCCTGGTTGGGAGGTGGGTGAATGTTGAGGTTGGAAGGGAGACTGACAGGACTGGGGAATGGGGTCTGGGGAGCTGGAGTCCTAGGTCCCTGAGTGCCTTGGTCTTGGAGAAGAAAAGAGACTCAAGGAGAGGTTCAGAATCATGGGCTCTCCTGGAGAGGGAGGGTGAGGGGCCTGGAAACCTGGGTGTTGAGGGTGGGGGAGGACCCGGACAATGTCGGTTCAGACTCTTCCCGGGTGTCTTAGGGAAATGGGGTCTGAGGGGCCAGAATTGTATGAAACTGTCACCCGTGTTACTGAGGAGGGCTGGGGGGTTGGATTCCAGGTTGCTCCTAGGGCTGGGGAGCCAGACTCGTGGGCTTAAGATAGAAGGGGGCGGGGGGGGGGGGGTCTCTTAGGCGTCCGGTGGGGAAGGCCTCCGCTGTGGCCACTTCCAGGGTCTTGGGGTCCCAGGTCCCAGGCGGCCAGGCGGGGCTTACCGGCGTAGTAGGCCAGGCGGCGCGCCTGGCGGTCAAACCAGAACCACCGTTTCTTCCAGGTCTTAATGCGGCCGCCCATCTTCACCAGGGATCCGCGGCAGCAGCCCCCCGACACCCTCACGTGCGGGCAGTTCTCCGGGTTGTGGCCCCAGCGTTCCAGGTGCTGCCTGAGATCCAAGACCCGGGGGCCTGGGGGGCGGGGTGGGGGCGTGGGCGGGGCCTGAGGAAGGAAGAGAAGGGGGTGGTTGACATCAAAGGGTCAGGGAGGGGGTGGTCCTGCAGCTCACCTGTGAGGCCCGCCACAGCCTTTCAACAGCAATATCCAGAGTGGCCATCATGAGAATGATCGTGATCCGGCAGCTACGTTTCTGGACCATGGCACCTTGCCCAGGGCTTTCTAGCAGCAACAACTTGACTCCCCAGGACTGCCCTTGGGAACCGGGCTACTAGGAGCCCCATTTTACAGATGAGCAAATTGAGGTACAAAAATATAAAATAATCCACCCGAGGTATCACAGGGCTTCTAGGTGGTAGAGCTGAAACACAAATCCAGGTCTTCCCGCCCCTAGAGTTCACTCTGAAACACAAGAGCTATGTCAGAGAAGTGAGGGAGCCCAGTGGGACCCTCATATCCTGTGCAACAGGGACCAAGTCAGTGATCCGTACTTGAGAGCAGTTTCTACTACTATTGTGGTTATTCTTGTGATGAAATCAGCAATTCTTACCTGTGCTAAGCGCTTTATAGGGACAATCCCTCGGCCCCCTCAAACTCCCTTGGGACGTAAGTACATTATTACCCCCATTTTATAGATGTGGAAACCAAGACTCAAGAGAGGTTAAGTCACTAGGCCCAAGTCACACAGCTAGAGCCGACAGAGCCAGGATTCACCAAGCACAGCGATCATCTCTGGCGGCCATAGAAGGGAAAAAAATTAAGGCAATGAAAGTGTCTACTGTTCGTAAGGCCCAGCCTGATCGCACCTATTCTTTTCCCTGCAAAGAATGGTATAATCCCCCACAGTCACGCTGAGGCTCAGAGCACTGTGTCTCAGACTTGAGCGCACAGGCAGACCCCCTAGGAATTTCGTTAAAAATGCAGCCACAGGGGAGGAGGGGGGAGGGTGGCTGGATGGCTCAGTAGGTTGATCGTCCCAACTGAAATCAGTCGGTTGATTTCAGCTGGAGTGATGATCCCAGGGTCGTGGAATGGAGTCCCTTCTCAAGCGTGGAGCCTGCTTGAGATTCTCTTTCTCTCTCTCCCTCTGCCTTCTCCCCCGATCACATGCTTGCTCTCTCTCTCTCTCAAATAAAAACAATACAATTAAATTAAAAATTTTTTTAAATGCTGCCTCGGGTTCGGTCAGGGGTGGGTGTGAGGTTCTGCATGTCTAACAAGCTCCCAGGGGTCAGTGCTGCTGGCCCATGGGCCACGCCTTGGGTATCAAGGGCTGAGAAAACGAGTTGAGGAAACAGAAGTAAGGCAAGGAGGGTTGAGAAATGGAGGAGACTCACTGCATGGAGATGGGGAAGGTGGAGGGCAGGTGCAGAGGAGCTGGAGGAATGCATAGGAGGGGAAGAAGCAGTTACAAGGTCAGCCAGCGGGGCCTGGAATCTTCTATGGGTCCTGTCACCAAATCCAGACAGTTACACTAACGGTCACCAACGTGTATGAAAGGTCTCACTCCGTGTTCAGCACTGTGGGCAGTGATCAGAGTGGTGATCACCTTCCTTCCTCTCAAAAACAAAACCAAAACACCGTCTATTGTCCCCATTTCCCAGATGAGGCAACTGAGGCTTCTAGACAGGCAGTGACTCACCAAGGTTACCCAGGTAGGACGTGGCAGAGCGGGGCCCCAATCCAGGAGAATAGTCGGGCTCGGGACTCGCGACTCCACCGCTGCCCCTCCATGTCACCCCCACGGAACCCCTGCCCCTCTAGGAGCCTCGGTTCCCCTGTGCTGAAATTCGGAGCTATCACAGCACCCTCCTCACGAGGGTGTTTCAAGGACAAGCTCTCGAGCTCTTGTTCAGGGTCCCAGCCCCGCGATCGGGCATGCGCACAAGAAGGCGGCCTGGGGTGAAACTGGGGTGGGGGTGGGGGAGGCACGACCAGGCACAAAGCAGGGGGCTGATGAATAAATGATGATGCTCCAAAGCAGGACTGCTTCATTTTTAATGAGGCAGAGCTCATGCCTGACAGCCCGAAGGCTCCACTGCCCTTCCCGGTATATTTTACTCCTTGGCTCTTATCAGCCCCTGACACGCTGTTTATTTTACTTATTGATGCTGTTTATTTTACTTATTGATGCTGGTGTTTTTTTCGACGTGCCTCCCTAAAAGCCAGCTTCCCCCAGGGCAGGGACTGTCATTTGGGTCACTGCCATACCCCAGGGTCTACCACACAGTAGGCGCTCAAATATTGGTTGAAAACAAAGTAATAATAATAAGGAAAGGACAGATGGTTGAGAAAACAAAAGGCAGGTTGGGAACAAAGTGATCATTTATGGGAAAAATAAATTCACAAAATATGGTTCGATCGGTGCACGTGGAGAAGTATAGAATAAGATTCAAAGTCTTCTCAGCAAGAGAAAACGCTTGGGCCTCCAGAGGTACAATGGGCGACCCTCACTTCCCCCAATGCAAAGCATTTGTATTCGTGCTATTAGCATAGATAAAAATAAAATTTTAATGAGGAACAGTCAGCTAAATCCAGAATATGCAAAACTCTACAGGATACATGACTCAATTTTTTTTTCCCACCAATAAATGGCATTTTTTAAAAAGTAGGGAGGGAGGATTCTTTTTTTTTTTTTAATGTTTTTATTTATTTTTTGAGAGAGATACAGAGCAAGAATGGGGAAGGGGCAGAGAGAGAGAGAGAGAGAGAGAGAGAGAGAGAGAGACAAGGAATCCAAAGCAGGCTCCAGGCTGTCAGCACAGAGCCTGAGGCGGGGCCTCAACCCGTGAACCTGGAGATCCTCATGACCTGAGCCGAAGTCGATGCTTCACGGATTGAGCCACCCAGGCGCCCCAAGAGGGTTCGTAGTATTAGAGATTTAGGAGACATTTTAAACGCATTGTGTATACTTTGTTTGGATCCAGATTTGAATAACCAACCATAAAAAGACATTTCGGCGACCATTAGGAAGATGTGAATATGGATCACACATTAGAATGTTACAGAATTATTAATCATCTCATAAAGTATGACAATGGGATTTTTGTTATGTTGAAAAGAGAACTTACCTATTGGAGATACACAGTGAGGTACGGACGAGATGATACAATGTCTGAATTTGCTATAAAATATTCCAGTGCATGGGGTACCTGGGTGGCTCAGTTAGTTAAGCGAGGGACTTCAGCTCAGGTCACAATCTCATGGTTTGTGGGTTCGAACCCTGCATTGGGATCGGTGCTAACAGCTCAGAGCCTGGAGCCTGCTTGTATTCTGTGTTTCCCTCTGTCTCTGTTCCTCCCTTGCTCATGCTCTGTCTGTCTCTCTCTCTCTCTCTCAAAAATAAATAAACATTAAAAAAAATGCTTTAAAATATTCCAGTGCAAGATGGAAAGTAGGTGAGGGATCAGTAAAACAAAGCTGGCAAGTCAAACAAGATTCAAAACTGATTATCACTGGGGCGCCTGGCTGGCTCAGTTGGTGGAGCGTGCAACTCTCGATCTTGGGGTTGTAAGTTCAAGCCCCACATTGGGTGTGGAGATTACTTAAGAAAAAAAAATCTTTAAAAAAGGAAAAAAAAAAAAAAAAGAAAAAAGACTGATAATCACCAAAGCTGCATGTTGGGTATACAGGGGCTTATCAATCTATTCTACCTCCGCATATGCTTGAATATTTGTATAGTGAAGTTTTTTAAAAAATCAAACACATTTTTAAAAGTTTTGAAAAGCCTCGGCATATCGTTGCCCTCATTCTACAGTAACTGCTGACATTGTCACTTACTTATAGAAGAGGAAACTGAGGCACAGAGAAGTAGAGCATGTTACCCGAGGACATGTCATGGATGTAGTGGGAACAGAAACCAGGCCTTTTTAGTTCCCCTCCCCCTTTTCTATGCCTTTCGAGGAGAGGAGAGGGTGAGATAAAGGGCAGAGGCCAGGGCAGAAACAGAGCAGGGAGGTGAGGCTGAGGGCAGGGGTGGACTGACCATGATGGCAGGTACAACAGGGCCTGAGGAACCTTCTGTGCTTCTTCTCATCCCTTCCTGTGGGTTCAGGAGGAAGGACTCAAATGAGGATGCTAACCAATAAGAAGTGGGGGAAAACTTACTGGATCCCTGGGTCTGAGGGGGGATGGGCTGGGGGGCCTGGATCCCTGGGTCTGAAAGGGGAGGGGCTGGGGGCCTGGACTCCTGGGTCTGAGGGAGGAGGGGACTGGGGGGCCTGAACCCCTGGGTCTGAGGGAGGAGGGGACTGGGGGGCCTGAACCCCTGGGTCTGAGGGGGGATAGGCTGGGGGGCCTGGATCCCTGGGTCTCAAACGGGAGGGGCTGGGGGCCTGGACTCCTGGGTCTGAGGGAGGAGGGGCTGGAGTAGGATCTCCTGACCCTAAGCAGGAGGGGCTGGGGTCTCACCCTGGCCTTGAGCAGTCGCTCCCTTTCCGCCACAGCTTGCTGCAGGAGCCGCTCCATGCGGGCGATGTCTGGGTGGAGGGCCCCACAGCTGGGAGGAGGGAACAGAGACCAGGGCAGGCTCCAGTGGCCTGGCCTCTTCCCGTTTCCCCACCTTCTCCCTGACGTCTCACCTGTTCCCAGGGCCACAGTTCAGCAGCTGATAGAGTGGGTGTCTTCCAGAGTCTTCCGATGTTGCTGGGAGGGCCGAGGCCTGCAGGGGTCCTGGAAAAGAAGGGCTGGGGCTAGGGGACCAGGATGCTCCCTTGTCTAAGCACCCCCCACCCCTTACAGGCATCCAGATTCCTCCATCATTGCCAGGGGAAGGGTGATGGTGGGGAAGGAGGTACGTGGGAATAATGGGGGGGGGGGAGGTGCGGGGAGACCCTCACCAGTACAGTGGAGGGATAGAGGTCGGGGGGATCCCCTCTGGCTCGCTCTCTCTCCCCTCTTCCGGGGCAGGCTTCCAGTCCTCTGGAGGCCGATGGAGCCCTACAAACAAACACACAAGGCCCATGCACACAGGAAGAGGCGCTCAGTCTCAACTGTTAAGCCGGAGGACCGCCAAGGAAAACCAGTAACTACTCGGCTCCTATCAGAAAGCCACTGTACATGTGATGCTGGGGAAAAGCAGCTAGTCACCAAGGACCACACAGGGCAAGGCGCGGAACGGCAGATTTAGAGACAGGAAGTAGATTCGTGGTTGCCAGGGGATGCGGGAGGAGGACATTGAGGGGTGACAGCTATAGGATGCAGGGTTTCTTCTGGGAGTGATGAATATGCTGTAAAACAGATCGTGGGGATGGCTGCACCACTCTGTGTGTGAATATACTGAAAACCACTGGATTGTACACTTTATTTTTATTTAAAAAAAATTTTTTTTAACGTTTATTCATTTTTGAGACAGAGAGAGACAGAGCATGAATGGGGGAAGGTCAGAGAGAGAGGGAGACACAGAATCTGAAACAGGCTCCAGGCTCTGAGCTGTCAGCCCAGAGCCCGACGCGGGGCTCGAACTCACGGACCGATAGATCGTGACCTGAGCCGAAATTGGACGCCCAACCAACTGAGCCACCCAGGCGCCCCTGGATTGTACACTTTAAATGGATGAACTCTAGGGGCACCTGTGTGGCTCAGGTGGTTAAGCGGCTGACTCTTGATTTTGGCTCCGGTCACGATCTCACAGTTTGTGGGTTCGAGCCTGGTGTCGGGCTCTGCGCTGACAGCACGGAGCCTGCTTGGGATTCTGTCTTCCTCCCTCTGCCCCTCCCCTGCTCGCTCTATCTCTTTCTCTCTCTAAATAAATAAACTGGTAACCCAGGCTGTGCCCAGGAGGTGGACTGATGGATGGGAACAAGGGTGGGAGAGTCATCTCTCTGAATATCCTGCCATACCCTTCAAACGTTGAACAAGGGGAATTTTGGCTTTAAAAAAAATAAATAAACATAACAACCCAATGTAACCTGTGCTCCTGGACCAGAAAAAACTTTGGTTTTTGCTAGAAAAAACAACGGTGGAACAGCTGACAAAATACAAATAGGATCTGGTTATTTTACTAGTATTATCTCAGTGTTAGTTTCCTGAATTTGATCAGTGCACTGTGGTTTTATAAGAGAGTGACCTTGACCCTGGGTAATAAATGTAGGAAGGGTTTAGGGGTAAAGGGGAATCATGCTGCAGAGAAAGATAGTAAAGTGTGTGTGTGTGTGTGTGTGTGTGTGGAGAGAAAGGATAAGAAAGCAAATGTCAAATGTGGTAAAATGTTAATTACAGAACCTGAATGCTAGGTGTACAGGGATTCCTTCTACTATTTCTGCAGTTTTTCTGTAAGTCTTACGTTACTTCAAAATAAAAAGTTACTAAAAAATGAAGACAAACTTATTTGACAGTGAGAGAGAGAGAGAGAGAGAGAGAGAGAAAGAAAGAAAGAAAGAAAGAACAATGAAATCATTCTAAAAAGAAAAAACAGGGTTGCCTGGGTGGCGCAGTCGGTTAAGCGTCCGACTTCAGCTCAGGTCACGATCTCGCGGTCCGTGGGTTCGAGCCCCACGTCGGGCTCTGGGCTGATGGCTCGGAGCCTGGAGCCTGCTTCCGATTCTGTGTCTCCCTCTCTCTCTGCCCCTCCCCCGTTCATGCTCTGTCTCTCTCTGTCCCCAAAAAATAAATAAAAAACGTTGAAAAAAAATTAAAAAAAAAAAAAAGAAGAAAGAAAAAACAGCAACTCTGAATAGATAATAAGGAATGATAAAAATAGGAGCGCCTTGGGGCGCCTGGGGGGATCAGTCAGTTAAGCATCCAACTTCAGCTCAGGTCATGATCTCACAGTTTGTGAGTTCGAGCCCCACGTGGGGCTCTGTGCTGACAGCTGAGCCTGGAGCCCCATTCAGATTCTGTGTCTCCCTCTCTCTCTGTCCCTCCCCTGCTTGCACTCTCTCTCTGTCTCTCTCTCAAAAACAAACAGACATTAAAAAAAAAATAATCATAAAAGCTCCTGGCTGGCTCAGCCAGTGGAGCAGGTGACTCTTGATCTCGGGGTTGTAAGTTTGAGCCCCATGTGGGGTATAGAGATTACTTAAAAATAAAAATTTTTATTTATTTTTTTAAGTTTATTTATTTTGAGACAGAGAGAGCATGCACATGTGCACAAGTGAGGTAGGGGCAGAGAGAGAGGGAGGGAGAAGAATCCCAAGCAGTTCCCACAAACCACAAGTTCATGACCTGAGCCAAGACTAAAGAGTAGGACACTCAACCAACTGAGCCACCCAGGCGCCCCCGAAATAAAACCTTTCCTTAAACAATGATGTGTGGGTTTTTTTAATGGTTTTTTTTTTTTTTTTTTTTTAGTTTTGAGAGATGGAGAGAGCCTGAGCAGGGGAGGGGCAGAGAGAGAGAGAGAGAGGGAGAGAAAGAATCCCAAGCAGGCTCCGCATCGTCAGCGCAGAGCCCCACGCAGGGCTCAAATTCCCGACCGTGAGATCACGATCTGAGCCAAAATCAAGAGTCGGACGCTTGACCCACTGAGTCACCCAGGTGCCCTCAAAATAAAAGATTTTTTAGAAGAATAATAAAAACAATACATGGCATAATTTGAGCACCAGCAAGGGTACTCACTGCTGTAGATCACAACTCATCAAGATATTTAATCTGTGGGGCGCCTGGGTGGCTCAGTCGGTTAAGCATCCGACTTCGGCTCAGGTCATGATCTCGCGGTTTGGTTCATGGGTTCGAGCCCCACGTCGGGCTCTGTGCTGACAGCTGGGAGCCTGGAGCCTGCTTCGGATTCTGTCTCTCTCTCTCTCTCTCTCTCTCTCTCTCTCTCTCTGCCCCTCCCCCACTCACACTCTGTCTCTCTCTCCTTCAAAAATAAATAAACATTAAAAAAAAAAATTTAATCCGTGAGTTAATAACAGTAAAGGAAGGCAAGTCTCTCGACAGAAGTATTGTAATGAATTGGTGAAGAGGAACAGACTAGAATTTTAGCACTTGAGACCCCTCAGAAAGATGGAGGCACCCACGCCAGAAAAAGAGAGACAGGTGCACGGCGCCCAGCACAAAGCTGAGCCTGCATCTGCTCAGGGCCCCACAGTCAACTTTACAGGAAATACAAAGAGGCACAGAGGTGACAATGACCCCCACGAGGCAATCAGCAAGCCCTGCCTGGGAAACTCCACAAAACGCCCGTCTGGTTTCCTCCCCAAGTAAATTGCCAAGGGGACAGAAAAAAGAAACAGAAGGGGAAGTCTATAAAGACTTAAAGCATACAGCCACTTAAAAAAAAAAGAAAAGAAAAGAAAAGACAAAGAAAAAGGAAGACTAAACTATAGTGTGTAGGGACAAACACTTAACTGACAGAACTTTAAAGCAAAGAGAGAGGCTATAGATACTGTAAAGGTCAGGCTGGTGGCCATTCTCTAGGAAGCGGAGGGGGTCATCATTCAGGGGCCTGCGGTGGGTTTCTGGAGCAGCTGTTGGGTCTACCTCCTGACATAGCTGGCAGTTCCAGAGTGCTCCCATGTAATCATTAAGCTGTGCAAGTGTTCCACGTGATTTTCTACACTCATGTTATCTCTAACCAAAAAAAAAAAAAAAAAAAAAAAAAAGTTCCAGGGCGCCTGGGTGGCTCAGGTCATGACCTTGAGGATTGCGAACTCGAGCCCCGCATTGGGCTGTCCGCTGTCAGCACAGAGCCCGCTTCAGACCCTCTCTCTCTCTCTCTCTCTCCCTCTGCCCCTCCTTGGCTCACGCTCTCACTCCCTCTCTTCTTTCTCTCAAAAATAAACATTTAAAAAAAATGTTTTTTAAGTTTGAAAAAATAAGAACTTCGAGTCTTTATCAAGTGCTCATTATATGCCTAACGATGTACCTGGCACTCTGCAGACTTACCTAAACTTCTAAAAGCCCACAGGGGGGCTCCTAGGTTGGCTCAGTCGGTTAAGCATCTGACTTTGGCTCGGGTCACGATCTCACGGCTTTGTGAGTTCGATCCCCTCATCGGGCCCTGTGCTGACAGCAGGGAGCCTGCTTGAGATTCTCTCCCTCTCTCTCTGCCCCTCCCCGCTCATGCTATCTCTCTCAAAAATAAATAAATAAACATCAAAAAAAAAAAAAAAAAAAAAAGGAAAAGTCCAAGGAGCTGGGAAAGTTTTGTTCCCCTTCACAGGGAGGAAACTGAGCCCATGTCTGTTCACTCTTTCCTTGCTTCAAAAGATGTTCCCAGCACATCCTCGCTGAGACCTTAGACACCTGGCACTGAGGAAGTGAGTTGGCAAGGTGGACTCAAGCCTTGTCTGCATGGCACTTATGTTGTAGGAACTAAATAAACCATCATACAAGTAAGTGCATCATCAGAAATTGCTGTGAGATGGGGCACCTGGGTGGCTAAGTCGGTTGAGCGTCCGACTTCGGCTCAGGTCAGGATCTCACAGTTTGTGAGTTCAAGCCCCACATCGGCCTCTGTGCTGACAGCTCAGAGCCTGGAGCCTGTTTCCGATTCTGTGTCTCCCTCTCTCTGCCCCTTCCCCACTCATGCTCTGTCTCTCAAAAATGAATAAACGTTAAAAAAAAAAAAATTAAAAAAAAATTGCTGTGAGTAAAGATAACAAGGTGTCAGAAAGGAGGATCACCTTCCAACTGGAAGGGTGGGTCTGGATGCTGACCCTAAGGCCCAAAGAATGAGAGTTGGCCAGGGAAGACTGAGGGGAACAGTGTTTCAGGTAGAAGCAGCAGCAAATGCAAAGGCCCTGAGGCAGGAGCAAGTATGGGATGTTGGCAGGTCAGCGCTCCTGCAGCTCAGCAGAGCGTGTATGGGGGACAGTGGTGAGAAGCGGGCAGGGGCCACATCATGGAAGGACTCATAGGCTGAGGTGAGGAGGCCCAGAGGGCCGCTGACAGCTTTTGGTGGGGAGGACTGAAGGAGGAGGGGTCGCGATCACTGGCTGTTGTGTGGGAAACAGATTGCTGGGAGACAAAAAGTAAGGTGGAGAGAGCTATCAATGAAGAGGCTAGTCTAGGGTCCCCAAACCAAAGATGAGGGTGGGAGTAGGTGGAAGAAGGGCGCTAATAATTATAATACTACTAATAATTGTAATTATAATCATAGTAACAGCAGCACATTCACCGAACACCTACTGCGTGCCAGGCATCATGCTGAGCACTTTAGCCACTAACCAGTGGGTTCTGTGATTCCCATTCGGCCGCTAAGTAAACTGAGACAAAGAGACATGTCTCAGTTCAACCACCTAGGAAGTGGGAGGACAGCTGGACCCAAGCAGGGTCAGGACTCTCAGCTATCACGTGAGCCTGGAAAGGTGGGGGGGAGGGTTGGATTTGGGAGGGATTTAACAGGACCTGGAGGCACAGAGAGGAAGGAGCAAGGAAGAGTATTGGTTGTTAATACTCTTCATTTGTCTGTTTACCTGGCTGAGTAAATAAATACTCCCCGGGCTCAAGATGTGCCCGGCTGGGGGTCCCCAGCTGCTCCCTCCGAGCTAGTATTAGCCACATTGCCCACTTGGATTCTGAAGGATTCCTGAGACACCCTTGCCTCCTGAAAGGCATGGGCCGTGGAAACAGGCAGACCTGGTTCAAAGCTATCTCGGCCACTTCCTGGGGGTGTGACCTTGGCAATTCCTGTCTTCTCAGGCTTGATTTCCTCTCTGTAAAGTGAGCGCAGTCCCACCATCCTGCTGCTGCGGTTGGTGCAAGGATGATGTGAGTGACCTCGTGCAGAACACCCAGGAGAGGGCCTGGAACGTTCCCCCAGGTGACATCCAGGCGCAAGGAGGGTATGAGATCCACGCAGTGGGTACAGGACCCACGGGAGCCAACAGCTCAGGTAATAACTCCATAGGAATGGACAGGGCCTCCCAGCAAGTATTTATAGATACGCAATTTACTTCTAAGGATCATAATTACTCGACGTCGTGTTGCCTGGCAACCCAGTTGTCACTTCACCTTTATCAGGCTGCCAGGGGAACCAGCTGGAGAGTTCATTTCCCATCCGGAAGAGCTGCAAACCCTTCACCCAGATAATGATGGGACCTACTTCTGGGGGTTCTTCTGAGCAAAGAAGGAAATATTTTTTATAGATAGATTTATTTCATGATATATGTATTAGATGGTACCATGTCACACTGCCAATATATGACTGCTTCTCACTCCCAAATAATAGCTTCGAAATGATAAAATGGCTTAGAGGGCACCTGGCTGACTCAGTTGGGTAGAGCATGTGACTCCTGCTCTCAGTGTGGTGAGTTCAAACACCATATTGGGCGTGGAGCTACTTAAAAAAATGAATGAATGAATGAATGAATGAATGAGTGCATAAATAAATAAATAAGATAAAATGGCTTTAGAGCAGACCCTGGCCTACCTTAAGCCTTCAAAAATCATGATTGTTGGGGCGCCTGGGTGGCTCAGTCGGTTGAGCATCTGACTTTGGCTCAGGTCATGATCTCACTGTTTGTGAGTTTGAGCCCCGCATCGGGTTCGGTGCTGACAGCTCAGAGCCCGGAGCCTGCTTCGGATTGTGTGTCTCCCTCTCTCTCTACCCCTCCCCCACTCACACTCTCTCCTTCTCTCTCAAAAATGAACCTTAAAATTTTTTTTGAAAAATCATTATTGTTACTAATTAGTAAATACTATATATTACATATTACACGCTGCATATAATTATATCAGACAATACAATAACGTTAATAATAATTAATATTAACTAATGGTATCATTGTGTGTACAAAAAAGGACACATGCACACACGGGTATTCACAACAGCATTGCGTAAACTACAGAGGCCTCAAATCCCCAAAGCCCCATTGAGGTCAGGCTCAATGCCTCCCTTGTAGACCTCTGTACCCCACCAGAGCCTGGAGCGGTTAGTGCACTGAAAACAGTGCCTGGATTCAAATCCCATCCCTGCTGCATTCCAGTGAGTTAACTACCTTCACCTCCCTGCCTCCATTTTTTCACCTATAAAAAAAAAAATGGAGGCAAGAACCCACCTGGTAGTATCATTGCAAAGACCAAATGAGTGAATCCATGCGAAGCATTTGAAACAGTGCCTGGGGGGCGCCGGGTAAGCATTGGACTCCAGCTCAGGTCATGATCTCATGGTTCCCGAGTTCAACCCCGGCATCAGGCTCTCCCCTCTCAGCGCAGAGCCCGCTTTGAATCCTCTGTCTCCCTCTCTCTCTGGCCCTCCCCAGCTCACGCGCACCCTCTCTCTCAAAAATAAACGAACATTAAAAAAAAAAAAAACAACATAAAAATAAAATAAAATAAAACGGTGCCTGGCACACTGCAAGGACTCAACAAATGTCAGCTGTCACCATTACTATTGCTTGCACTGTTGTCGTTAGAGTCATTAAAAATGATGAGCAGCTCTAAACGTATCAGTGGAAAACAATCTCCATGGTAGAGTGTGAAGTTAGGAAAAAAAAAGTTAGCCAACGAGTGGCTGATATACACACTTTTTTTTTTTTAATTTTTTTTTTTAACGTTTATTTATTTTTGAGTCAAAGAGAGACAGAGCATGATCGGGGGAGGGTCAGAGAGAGGGAGACACAGAATCTGAAACAGGCTCCAGTCTCTGAGCTGTCAGCACAGAGCCCGACGCGGGGCTCGAACCCACGGACCGCGAGATCATGACCTGAGCCGAAGTCGGCCTCTCAACTGACTGAGCCACCCAGGCGCCCCACACACTTTAAAAAAAAAAAAAAAAAGCTTACGTGATATGCCAATGTCTAAGCGCTTACGACGCGACCGCGCCCCTCAAACAAAGCTTTTCACCTAATATTCACCCCTACCCCATGCCCACCTCTGACACTCTCTACTCTGTTTCATTTTGAAGAGTTAGCAACAACCCCTTCAACGAATGTTGTAACCCGTTAATAAGTGGGGACCCCCAGTGTTAGGGAGAGCTGGAAGGAGGGGTACCCAAGAAACGAGTAGCTGTGCCAGGGAGGGGGGCTGGGGCCAGTGGGGTGGAGAGAGGAGGCCTTTTTATCAATCTTTTATGATGCTGCTTTTAAAATGCACTCCTGGGTGAAAGGGGGAACACTTCTGCACTGCTGGTGGAAATGCAAACTGGTGCAGCCACTCTGGAAAACAGTGTGGGGGTTCCTCAGAAACTGAAAAATAGAACTACCCTACGACCCAGCAATTGCACGACGAGGCATTTATGCAAAGGCTACAGGTGTGCTGTTTCAAAGGGGCACACGCACCCCCATGTTTATAGCAGCACTAGCAACAAGAGTCAAGTTATGGAAAGAGCCCAAATGTCCACTGACGGATGAATGGATAAAGAGGATGTGGTATCTATATACAATGGAGTTATTACTCGGCAATCAAAAAGAATGAAATCTTGCCATTTGCAACTACATGGAGGGAACTAGAGTGTGTTATGCTGAGCGAAATTAGTCAGAGAAAGACAAACACACGATTTCACTCATACGTGGAATTTAAGATACAAAACAGATGAACATAAGGGAAAGGAAGCAAAAATAATAAGAAAACAGAGAGGGAGACAAACTGTAAGAGATGGTTTGAACAATACAGAGAACAAATACAGAGAACAAACTGAGGGTTGCTGGTGGGGTGCTGGAGGGAGGGGGATGGGCTAAATGGGTGAGGGGCATTAAGCAGGACACTTGTTGGGATGAGCACTGGGTGTTCAATGTAAGTGATGAGCCACTAAATTCTATTCCTGAAATGATTACTGCACTATATGTTAACTAATGTGGATTTAAACGAAAAAAAAATTCTATTAAAAAAGGAATTAATTAATTTTTTGAAATAATAATAAAAATAAAATGTCCTCCTGGGGGCACCCAGTTCCATTTTGCCAGGGGAGCGGGGGGAGGGAGGGATATCAGGCAGAAGAAAGAAAATCAATACAGGAAGCTTGAGCCTCATAAAAATTAAATTAAAATATCCCTCGATCACGCCTCCCTGTCCCCCATGCCCCCGTGGCAGAGAGAGCCACCGTGAAAGTTCTGGAGACGCAGTGACAGGAAGACATGGGGGGGAAGGTACCTGCAGAGAGCTGTGAACAGAGAAGAGGCAGGAAGAAGTGGCAGTGGCGGTGTGGGCGGCGGGGTCCTGCAGCACCAGCAGCTGGCGGTCTGTCTTCTGGGTGAACAGGAGCTTCAGGAGAGGGGCGGAAGGTTAATGGGAGCCACAAAGATCACAGATGACCCACCAGTTCCCAGATGCTCTGGCTCATGGCTCCAGCGTCAGCCCATCTCTCAGACGGAGAAACAAAGGCTCAAGGTGACAAGAGAGCTAGACCCTGGTCTTAGGGAACAAGGGCTCTGGGCAGAGACTGTTTATTGGTCCCCTGGGGGGGGGCGGAGGGGGGGCGGAGGGGCCTGAACTCCTGGGTCCCAAAGGTAAACGCATTTAGGGGGCTGAGAAATGCAGATCCCAAGGGAGAAGGGGTCTGGGGGCCTGGACTCCTGGGTCTGAGGGGGGAGGGGCTGACAGGTGCAGGACGTCCCCTTACCTTAGTGAGGGCCTGGCTGGACTCAGAGAAGTCCCCTCCAGGGGTTCCCTGAAGGCAGTTAAGCTGGAACAGTCGGCTCCGTTCCTAAGGGAGAGCAAAGTGATCACCACTTCCCATATCGCAGTCGAAATGGGACGTCCCAGCAGCCTTCCCTGACGCCAGGAGACATCCTGGGGGGCCGCGTGGCGACGGGATGGCCCCGGAGGGACGTGAGGACAGCTGCACAGGCCTCCAGGAGGACTTACCTGCGTCAGGGCCTCAAGGGCCTCCTCCTTCTTCTGGCTCAGCCCCCTGCTCTCAGCTGCCATCTGCTCCCCCAGCGCCTTGAGCTGCTCCTCTAAGACCTGGATCCGGCGCTGCAGGGCACACCCGAGTGACCTGGTCACTCAGCTGCCCCAGGGCTCCCGGCTGGCTCCCACAGAGCCAAGTCCTCCTCGAGAGCCCGGGACCGAGACGGACCCCCAAGAGAAAGATGCAGAGACAAGAGACAAGATGTGACAGAACGGAGACAGACAGAAGCTGTGTGAGACAGGAAGGGAGAAGAGACAGGGACAGGAAGAAGATCCAGAAGTGGAGGTGGGCAAAGGAGACCCATGTCAGACCCTTCTAATTGAAAACTTTAGAAAACTTTTGTGTTAAATATAGTCAAAACATGTCACTTTTTCCAGTAGGACCTGTCCGACCCTTGAATACGAAACTCCCAGAGAGGGCCGGCAGGGTTCTCTTTTTGGACTTGGGTTTGAGAGGCAGAGAACGCAGTGGCCAAGACCGAGTAGGTTCAGATCCCAGCTCTATCCTCTACAGACTGAGTGACCTTTGGAAAAGATTACTCGAGCACCTTGACCTTCAGTTCCTGTACTTATAAAGTGGAAAGAAGGTAAGGTTTACCTCCTAGGATTCTTGAATGATTCAATGAGCAAAGACTCATGAAACATTTAGGACCGTGCCTGGAACATAGTAAATGCTCCATAAACATCAACGCTTGTCCCTGCTCCAAAGAACGGGACCCAGGCAGGAAAGGACGACAGAGAAAGGGCCAGTCGTGGAACGGAGGAGACAGCGGGCAGCGGCGGGGGAGGCAGGGCCAGCCCGGCCCGACTTACCCTGTGCTGCGCCACGCTGGCCTGAAGTTCCCGGACCTTGGGGTCCAGTGCCCGGGCCCCAGGGCTGTCCCGGTCCTCGTCCTCCCGCCGGCTCTCCTGCTCCAGCTGCTGGAACTCTAGGTCCTCGTAGGCATGCTGGGCCACATCCAGCTGTTCCCTCATCTGCGGGTGGGAATGCAAAAAAAGACTGGGGCCCAGGGGGTAGTGGGCCGGGGCCAGGAGTCCCGGTCAAGGAGGTAAGAGGGACCTGGGGGTCTAGCCTCCAGAGTCCTGGGGCTTACAGGGCTGGGGCCTGAACTCCTAAGGGAGGGAGGAGGGGACTGAGGGCCTGGACATCTGGGTCCAAAGGAAAGAACGGTTCAGACCCCAGGTCCCCGAGTATATCTGGAGGAGCCTCACCTCCTGCACCCCCTGCAGAAGTCGCTCACGCTGGTCCTCTGGCTGTGAGTCGAGTTGTCCCTGGGCCTCCTGGAGTCGCTGGCGAAGAGCCTCCACCCGATCCCGCTCCTGGCTCAGTTGCTTCTGTTCCTGAAACAACAGCCGGGCTCTGAGCCACAGTCTGGACACAGGAAGTGAAACAGAGGCCAGCCCAGCCAGAACTCAGAAGCCTGCCTGGGTGCCAGGGCCAAGAGTGCAGGGACCCTATCTGTCTGGTTCTGTCTATCTGTAATGGCTGGGTCCATTACACTCAGAACAGACTGAGACAATCAGGGCAGTGGGGCACAGAGACCGGGAATCGAGAGTCAGGAGCAATTTCTACAGGGGTGATCCAAGACTTCCTGGGTGGGAGGAGTTTAAGGTAAGCCTCAAAAATCAGGGAACATTTAGGGGCGCCTGGGTGGCTCAGTTAGTTAAGCCTCCGGCTCTTGATTTCGGCTCAGGTCATGATCTGATGGTTTGTGGGATCAAGCCCCACGTTGGGCTCTGTGCTGACAGTGCAGAGCCTCCTTGGAAATCTCTCTCTGCCCCTCCCCTGCGTGCTCTCTCTCTCAAAATAAATCAACTTAGGGGGCGCCTGAGTAGCTCAGTTGGTTGAGCATCCAACTTTTGATTTTGGCTCAGGTCATGATCTCACAGTTTGTGGGTTCAAGCCCTGCATCGGGTTCTGTGCTGACAGCGTGGAGCCCACTTGGGTTTCTCTGTCTCCTTCTTTCTCTCTGTCCCTCCCCTGAGCTCTCTCTTTCTCAAAATAAATAAAGAAACTTTAAAGTAAATAAATAAACTTAAAAAAAAAAAAGAATGGGGGGCGCCTGGGTGACTGACTTCAGCATCAGACTCTGTGCTGACAGCTCAGAGCCTGGAGCCTGCTTGGGATTCTGTGTCTCCCTCTCCCTCTGCCCCTCCCCCGCTCATGCTCTGTCTCTCTTAAAAATAAATAAAATTTTTTTAAAATTTAATAAAAAAAAAAGAGAACGAATAGGTTCTTAAAGAATTTACATACAATATCATAGCTGGGATCGGTGTTTAAAACTGGGGATAGGGAAGCAATTGGGGGACGGAAAACAAAACGAGACGATTAATCACTGCTGAAGCCGGTGGGCACAACCACACGGCCACCATCTGACTATTCTGTTTGTTGGTTTGACATTTTTCCCAGTATGACATTTAAAGACCAAAGAGGCCGGGCGAAGGAAGACCCCACTCCTGCAACACCCCCCCCCCACCCCTGCCGTGAGTCAGGTTCTAGAATCACGGTCAGGGAGGGAGAAGGAAAACAAGTACATCTGCCCATTCCCCACCCCACCCAGACCAAGTATCCCCACTTGGGGAACGGGGATAACCCTGGGGCTCGGGTCCCAGGAGCACCACCAGGAATATCCGTCCCACAGGAAGGAAACTGGTGGTGAAGGTCCAGCAGGACCAGACCTGTTCCCGCTGTTCCCGGCTGCCCTGCTCCGTTTCCACCTGCTGTCCAAGCAGCTCCCGGAGTTGCTCCTCCTCGCGCCGGGCAGCCACTCGCTCCCCAGCCAGCTCACCCCGCAGAAGGGCTACCTCCACCTCCATCTGTGGAGAGAATGCAAGGACTGGGGCCCAGAGGCCTGGGTCCGAGGACGGTGTGGAGGCGGGGCACTCGGACGCCCGGGAATCCGAGCTCTTGGATTCGGAGGGAGGATAGGACCGGAGGCCTAAGAATCGGATTCTGCAGGAGGAAAGGCCTGGGAGCCTGGCCTTGAGGGCTTCCCTGGAGCTGGGGCCAGACTTCCCACGAGGTCCGCGGCCTCACCTCGATCCTCAGCTCCTTCCTCTGGCGCTGTAGCTCCTTCACTCGCTGCTCCATCAGGGCCACGCGGGTCAGTGCCTCCAGCTGCTGCTCTCGAAGCCGCCGCGCGGCCCCTCGCACCTTCTCTCCAGGCTGGGTGGATGCGGGGGCCGTGGCCGGGATCTGTGCTGGGGGCGGAGCCTCCCCCTGAGGTTGAAGGGTGCGTGGTCAAGAGGGGAGGCCTCACCCCTCAGCCACCGGGTAGGTCCGTTCCCCACCGCATTCCCCGGACTGGGGGTCCTGATCAGCCCCAGTCAGTCGCCACGCCCGGTTATTCAAGTGGGGGAGGGTGTAGGTGCGGTGTCCCCCCCGCCTGGGAGGAGGCCCAGGGGCTGGCAATAGGGGAGGGGGTATGTGGCCGACTCAAAGAAGGTGCCTTTTTCCATACCCAGGTCCCATTCCCGGCGCTGCGTTTTCATAGACCCGGATCTCTCTCTGTCTCTCTGCCTCTCTGCCTCTCTCCCTCTCCCCCCACCCCCACCCCCGGGTCTGAGTCTTTCCCTCTGTTTCTCTGGGCTTTGTCTCTCCGACTTAGTCTCTATCTCTGAATCGCTATGTCTGTCCCTCTCAGAGTATTTTCCTTTCTCAAGATTTCTGTTTCTCTGAGCATCTCTGTCCTTTGTTTCTGGGTTTCTGTGTCTCTATCCTCATCTCTCTGAGCCTCTGTCTCTGGTGTGTGTCTCTGTCTCTTTTGGGTCCTTGTCCTTGTCTCCCTGTCTCCGGGTCTCTCTATACCTGTCCCTCTGTCACCCGCCAGTGCCTCTCTCTGGGTCCCCCCGTGACCCCTCCTTCGCCCTCCAGGTCCCTCACCGCGTCGCGGCTGCTCTCCGTGCTGCTGCCTTCTCCCACTTCTTCCTCTTCCTCAGCCTGCTGCTCAGCTCCTCGGCCGCTGGGAAGCTCCTTCACTCTCTGGGGCTCCTCGGGGGCCTCGGGGACCTCGGGCGCCTCCGGCTTGTGGGTGTCCCCCGCGTGCACCTGGGGCTGCGTAGCCCCATGGGGCCGGTCCTCCGCGTCGCACTCCGGTACCGGCTGGCACCCCTCCCCCGGGCCGCTCGGCGTCCCCATGGCCGCTTCGGGCTCCGGCGGAGTGGGCTGGCCCTTGCGTTCCGGGGGCGTGGTCTGGCAGCGTGGGGGGTGTGGCCCACGAGGCCAGAGCAGCTCCCGACTGCTCGGGCGCGTGGAAAAGAGCTCCAGGAGGCGGGTCTAGGAGATCAAAGACTGGAACTGAGCACTCGGAGGCGTGGCCTGGAGTTTCTGGGGGCGGGGTTCGATGGCTCCCAGGGCGCCACACCCCCGAAGGCCAGACCGGAATTTGAGTCGGGGTCTTAGCACGCCCCCTACTGGCCTCTCCCTCCTACCCAAGGGTCTAGCCTCGGACCCTCCCGGCAGCCCCTCACAATGCCTTAGACCACCCAAGAGCGACCCCATCTCCTTCTCCCTCCGGGACTCCGGCGTCCAGACTCCCGTATCCTCCTTTCCCGAGCCTGGTAGACTTGGCTCCGACTCTACCTGAGGAGGGAGTAGCGCCCCTGCCTTCTCACTCAGGGATCCGGGAGTCGGGGCTCCTAGTTTCCCTCTCTACACAAAACGAGAGTCTGCGTCCTCTGCTCCTCCCCGGGGCTAGATTCCCAAACTGCAGCCTCCCTCCTCCCCCGGGCGCCCAGAAGGCCGAGCTTCCAGCCCCGTCTTCCCCCGCAGCCCCGGCCCCCTCACCAGCTCAGGCTTCGGCGCGCTTCCCTCTGCGCTCCGGGCGCTGCCTTTTCTGTCTAGAGGACAGGTGGCTGGGGAAGAGGGAGGAGAGAAGCTGTTCTGTCCCCCTCCCCAGCAGCCCGGAAGTGGAGGGGGGGACAACAGGTCCAACAGCTCCCGAGGGAGGAGGGAGAGACCAGCTTGCCCCGCCCGCGGCCGCGGCATCCGGCCATCCCGGCCCCACCGGCCCCACCCTTGGAAAACCCAGCATCGCGACCCCCCACTCTGCCTCCAGCACCCCCCGTTCCTGTCCCCTAAAGGGCTAGTCGTCTTGATCACCTATGTATAAATGCCTCCCTAAGGCCCAGACCCCGGGAATCCTGAAAGAAAAGGGGGGGAAGGGAGATAGGGGCCTCTCCCCTCTAATGAGCCCTTTAGAAGGGCTCCGACCGGTTTGGGGAGCTGGGCAAGGGGAGGGGGTGCCCTGAGCTGAGTCAGAGACCCGCCCACAGACCGGGAAAGTGTGCCCCCCCCCCCATCTGTTATGGGGTGGAGGGCAGAGGTTAAAGGTCTCAGCCAGACCCTTTCCTCTCTGGGCAAAAACAGGAAAATTATTGGCACGTGAGAAAGGATTATTGGATGTCAGGAGCTGTGCTAAACACTTTATACACGTTAATTTCATCCTTACAGTAGCCTAATGAGAAAGGGATTACCATCTCCTTTTTATAGCTGGGGAAACTGAGGCTGAGAGGGACAAATGTGCGCAAAGTCTATACATGTTGTTAATCTTAAAGCTGGGGTTGTTCTCTGGAAAGTCTGTGTTCTTAACCATTAGACATGCTGTCACTCTGGCGCAGCCAGGAAGTGCCTGGAAGATCATTCCAAACGATAGCTACAATAATTGTCACCACTGATAGGAACCCGGCCATGAGGGGAGGGTGCCAAGCACCTCATACATGTGGATTCCTTGGGTCGTCATGACACCCTATTATTAGTATTATTTCCATCTTACAGATTGAAACTGAGGCGCGGAGAAGTGGAGCACCTCATCCTGGGTCTTACAGGTAGAAGTGGTTCAAACTCAAGACTGTGTTCTAATCCAAGGAGGTGAGAAGCCCTGCCCCGGATACGAGTTTCTGATCTTGTGAGTTGGAAAATTTCCTCCTTGCAGGCACCCTGGATCTTCAGTGACCTTGCTCACCCCCTTGGCCTCTCTAGACCAGACACCTCAGCCCAGAAAACCAACTGGTTCCCCCAGAAAATGGACAGAAATAAGATTCAGAGCAACAACAAAACAAAACAAAAAGCAATGTTTTAAATTTTATTTAAGAAGCTCAAGGGCTGGTGAGGGAGGGGAAGAAGAGAGGCTTCCGTGATGGCGCCCCTCTCTGTACCCCACCTAGTGCATTCTTAACGGATATGAGCACCTGACAAAGCCAGGTCAGGAAGGGGGAGTCTGGATCCCACAGCGCATATTAGCTGGAACAGCAATGTCTGAAAGGAAGAAACCGAGGTTAAAACAAAGGGCTCCAGCAGACCCCCTCATGCCCCACTGGGGACCCAGAAATCCTAGGAGCCCCTCTTCTTTGGGAAACTAGAGTTCCGGCCCTGAGCCCCACCCTCCCTCAGACCCAGCAGTCCCGGCCCCCAAATGCTCACCTATCTGCTGAGGCTTGGGCAAGTTCAGGTTGTCCATGACCTTGACAAATTCCTCACAGCTGAGAGTGAGCCGAGGGTTCAAAGTCCTCTCCTCCTCCACAGTGGACACCGTGAGCCCTAGTGGCCGAGGGAGGGGAAGAATGTCAACCTGGCAAGTGCCTGGGGCTTCCTAGGACTACACTTCCCAGGAGGCTTAGGGTGCATCTCGGGGCCTGGGACTAATAGGCTCTTCCCAGAATGTACCTGAGATCGCTGGCTCTCCTCAAAAGGCACTATGGGAAATGTAGTTTCCCACCTTCCCTAAGCTCTATAAGGAAGTCCCGGGAAAACTCGTGCCCTCCGGAATTCTAGTTGTAGTTTCTCCATCCACACTCGGCACACCTAAGCACTTAATCTTTTTTGGCCAGAGGAATTTCTAGGAATTGTAGTCTCCATGCCCCACAAGGACTACAGCAGTTTGGTACGCCCTCTCAAATGGAAAGTTATAGAAGTCCCATACCTCCCCCAGGAAGCCCTCACCATGGTAATCATGAGCAGGGTAGACCAGACAGTCTCCTGGAAGCGTGAAGATCTTTTCATGGACTGAGTGGTACAAGGTCTTAGCACAGCCTGGGGAGGGAAAGTTCAGAGGAGTGAATCAACAGGACAGGAGCCCTCTAATCCCTTCCTTCAAGAAAAGGGTAGGAGGATAAAATCACATAGCTAAACTGCCCCCCTCATTTCCTGCCAGTACCGCCCTGCCTAGGCACAGAAAGAGAGGAAAGGGCGTTCTAGGCAGATGGAACAGCATAGGCGAAGGGTTGAGGAATGGTGAGAAATTCGCCATGGTGGTAAATAAGGTTGGGATGAGATCCTGAAGCACCAGGGAGTTGTGCCCTCAGCCTGGAAAAGCTTCAGGGCAGGGAGGCTGGACTAGAAGGTAAGAAACTGAAGACATGAGGCCAAAGAGAATGCTCCCAACAACACCCTCTGAGTCCTCAACTGGGGCGGGGGCAAACCTCTCTAGACCATCATTGCCGCCATTCATGTCAGCCCAATCCTTCAATTCCCTAACTGTGCAGGGAGTGGATAAATGGGAGATGAGGCACCTCGGAAAGAGACAGACAGACACAGACGGAGACATAAGGAGAGGAAGAGGAAGCAAGAGGCAGCCTGGGGCTCTGGTTACACACTTCCAGCTCATGGTTGTCCTATCTTTGCTCTGTCTTTATCAGGGCAGCTAAATCCTCCCAATCTAGTGTCAGCCCCGTATTCGCGTGCGCGCGCACGCGCACGCACGCACGCTCAAGGGCAGGCACACCCAGAGATTCTGAAACTAAACTCCCTTCCCACAGTGAAACTCCTGAATCTAACTGCCCCCCTAGCAGCTGAACTCCTGAATCAAACTCACACCCCTCCCCGCTGCGACACCTCCAGCAGCCAAACTCCTTATGGGGTTTAAAAATATGTCCACAGGGGCGCCTGGCTGGCTCAGTCGGTAGAGCATGTGACTCTTGAGCTTGGGGTTGTGGGTTCAGGTCCCACGTTGGATGTAGAGATTACTTAAAATAAATAAATAAATAAATAAATAAATAAATAAATAAATAAGGGCTCCCTTGGGCAGTGCATACACTACAATTGGAATGATACAGAAAAGGTTAGCGTGGCCCCTGTGCTAGGGTGACATACAAATTCCGTGAAGCATAAATATTAAAATATTATTAAAATAAATAATAGGGGCGCCTAGGTGGCGCAGTCGGTTAAGCGTCCGACTTCAGCCAGGTCACGATCTCGCGGTCCGGGAGTTCGAGCCCCGCGTCGGGCTCTGGGCTGATGGCTCAGAGCCTGGAGCCTGTTTCCGATTCTGTGTCTCCCTCTCTCTCTGCCCCTCCCCCGTTCATGCTCTGTCTCTCTCTGTCCCAAAAATAAATAAATAAATATATATATAAATAAATAAATAAAAAATATATGTCCACAAACTCACTGACACTTTTCTGTTCAAAATGTGATCCTTCCCCTCGCCTTGACTTAGTGGTCTCCACTAAGTGACTTGCAACGAATAAACAGGATATTGCAGAAATGACAGAGGTTAACTTCTGAGACTAGGTCATTAAGAAAAAGTTAGGGCTTCGGACTGCTTGCCCGTTGCATCTCTCTGATCATGCCCTCTGGAGGAACCCCGCTGCCAGGTCATGAAGACAAAGTACCCCCATGGAGAGGTCACATGGTGAGAAACTGAGGCCTCCTGCCAACAGTGGGAGCCAGCTTGCCAGCCATGTGAGTGAGGCGCCTTTGGAAGTGGACCCTCCAGCCCCAGTCACGCCTTCAGATGACTGCAGCCCAGGCCCTAGCTTGACTGTGCCCTCCATGAAAGATGCTGAGCCGGAACCACCGAGCTAAGCTACTCCCAGAGTCCTGACTCTCAGAAGTTATGTGAGATAATGTTAATCATTGTTTTAAGTCATTACACTCTGGGGTCATTTGTTTCACAGCGATAGATAACTAGCGCCCCCCCCCCCTTGAATCTAACTGTCCCTCAATACAGTAAACCACTGCATCTGCCCCCCCCAAGGGTCATGACTCTAACTCTCCCCGACTCCAGCATCTAAACTTCTTGAATCTAATCCTGACCCCCTAAAACCCCCATTCATTCATTCTTACAACAGGTCCTTAAAACTCTGGTGTCATTCTAACACCCATTCATTCATTCTTACAACAGGTACTTAAAACTCTGGCCCATGCATAACCATCCTACGATCTCAGGCTGGAGAAGGGGGCCTGTGACCTTGCTGGAAGTCCGTCCGCCCACACCCTCGGATGAGCAGGGCATCTCCAGTGAAGGCCATGCTGTGGTCATTCAGGACGAAGGTGACACAGCCTGGGGTGTGGCCGGGGCTGGCCCGGGTCTCCAAGGCCTGGTGGGGAAGGAGAGTACAGACAGTTATCAATAAGCCAAGGACTCTGGTCTGATGGCAAAACTGACCCCAGAAGCACCCATCCCACCTCAGGATTACATCTAGCTAGCATAGTTTTTTGCAAAAAGATTAGGTGTGCCTGGGTGGCTCAGTCAGTTAAGCGCCTGACTCTTGATTTCAGCTCAGGTCATGATCTTGCTGTTCATGGGATCGAGCCAGGCATCGTCTGCCTCTGCACTGACAGCATGGAGCCTGTTGGGTGTTCTCTCTCTCCCTCTCTCTCTGCCCCTCCCCCACGCACATGCCTGCTCGCGCTCTCTCTCAAAATAAATAAATACACATTTAAAAAATTAAATAATAAAATTATGTTATTGAAATTAAATTAAAGATGCTATACACAAATATTTAATGACATGAAAATATGTTAAATATCTGGTAAGTGCTAAAAGCAGATTAAAAAAAACTTGTACAGTGTCATCTTTTAAAAAAAATTTATTCATTCATCAAAATATATTTTTTCTTTAGGCTTTTCTACATTAACAATTTTTAAACAGAAAACATGTCATTTTATAATTAAAAGTAAAACACAAAATTCAGGATAAACTAAAGATGTAAACATTAAAAGAACCATAAGAATTCTAGAGAGAGAAAAAAGAATTCTAGAGGAAAATATATAAGGATATTATGAGTATATAAGAATATATATAAAATCATATAAAGATATATATAATCTTTTTTTTTTAAACATGACTTTTTTTTTAACGTTTATTTATTATTGAGAAACAGAGAGAGACAGAGTATGAGCGGGGAGGGGCAGAGAGAGGGGGAGACACAGAATGAGAAGCAGGCTCCAGGCTCTGAGCTGTCAGCAGGGAGCCCGACGCGGGGCTGGAACTCACGAACCACGAGATCATGACCTGACCTGAAGTCAGACGCTCAACCGACTGAGCCAGCCAGGCACCCCAAAGATATATATAATCTTATAAATACATAAGGAGATTATACACACACACACACACACACACACACACACACACACACACACACACAAGGAAAAACAGTGACAAGGATGACCACATAGTTTAACTTCATCATAGAAAAGAACAAAATAAGAGTTAAAAGACAAAAAACTCAGACAATAGTCGCAGCATGTATAAGAAAGTATTATAAAGTGTGAATAGCCATCATATATAAACAGCTCCTAAGCATCAATAAAAACTCCCAAAAGAAAAATGCACAAAAGAAAAAAAAAAGAGGCAATTATGGAAGAGGAAACAAATAGTCAAAAACCATCTGAAACAATATTTGATCTCCCTTTTTTGGGAGAAAAGGAGGGAGATTTAAATGTTAAAAACCCTCACTTTTCACATACCAGATTGGCAATTGTTAGGGTATTGCTCAGGGTGTTTGAGGCAAGCCCTTTTGTTTCCTGGGACGCGGGTATGACTCCGTGTAGCCATTTCAGAGGGCAAGTTTGTCGTGTTTACCAGCATCTCAAATGTGCACTCTTTCTGACCCCTCAAAGTTACTGCTAAGATGCTGCTGTTAAGAACTTCCGACACATGTGCAAAAAACGCCCACTCAGGAAAATCCTCATTATCTAAATTCCCACACTCAGTTCAGGGAAGCAACTGTCAGAAAACAGTTGTTACCCTAATGATCTAACAACCACTCAGAAGATTAGTTCCCACTCACATAGCACCCCTCCCACCAATTAGCATCCTGGTCCAGGTCAGTCTAATCAGCAGATTATAGAAGGGCACCATGTGCAGACCCTGTGTCCACACCCAGCACCCATTCTGCCCTTCCCCACTCACAGGTCTCCAGTTTGGCTTGGGGCATCCGTGTGCCCAGCCAAGCACTTCCTTAGCCTCCATGGTAGCTTGGGTGGCTTCTGACACGGTTCTCTGGCCACCAAGATCTCCGTAAATGTCTGAGAATGTCTGAGAAAGCTTTTCCCTTCCTGATACAAGAGTTTGGCACCTCTCCTTCCCACTTCATCTGGTTCTGGACAAAGGCGTGATGGCTGCAGCTGCAGCAACCACCTTGCAACCATGAAAAAGAATCCCCAAAATAATAGCGCTGCTTAATCGGACCATGACTGCCTTCTTCCAGACTCTATTACAGGAGAACATTGAACACCCAATTATTTAAGCCACTGTATGGTTTTTTAAGTCATGTATTGGTTTTTCAGCCAAACACCTTCCTAGCTCATATATAATAGGATAGATGTGCAATGCCAAACAAATGCAAAGCAAAATCACAGACCTTGCAAAAGCTTGTGGGAAAAATCGCAGGCATCCTGCACCAAATTAACACCTTTTGGTGGCAGCAAAGGGATGATCTTTCACTTTTTATTTGGTCTGTTTCTGTACTCTCTGAATTTTTCTTTCTCAGGAGCCTTTATTTCATTTTATTTTTATTTAAATCCAAGTTAGTTAACATATAGTGTGACAGTGGTTTCAGGAATAGAATTTACTGATTTATCACTTACATAGAACACCCAGTGCTCATCCCAACAAGTGTCCTCCTTAATGCCCCTTGCCCATTTAGCCCACCCCCCACCCAACACCCCGCCAGCAACCCTCAGTTTGTTCTCTGTGTTTAAGGGTCTCTTATCACCTGTCTCCCTCTCTGTTTTTATCTCATTTTTCCTTCCCTTCCTTTGTGTTCATCTGTTTTGTGTCTTAAAGTCCTCATATAAGTGAAGAAGTCATATGATTTTTGCCTTTCTCTGACTAATTTTACTTAGCATAATACCCTCCAGTTCTATCAGTGTTGCAAATGGCAAGATTTCCTTCTTTTTGATTGCTGAGTAATACTCCATTGTATATATAGACCACATCTTCTTTATCCATTCATCCATCGATGGACATTTGGGCTCTTTCCATACTTTGGCTATTGTCAGTAGCGCTGCTATAAACATGGGGGTGTACGTGCCCCTTCAAAACAGCATCCCTGTATCCCATGGATAAATGCCTAGTAGTGCAATTGCTGGGTCGTAGGGAAGTTCCATTTTTAGTTTTTTGAGGAACCTCCATACCGTTTTCCAGAGTGGCTGCACCAGCTTGCATTCCCACCAGCAGTGCAAAAGGGTTCCCCTTTCTCCACATCCTCGCCAACATCTGTTGTTGCCTGCGTTGTTAATGTTAGCCATTCTGACAGGTGTAAGGAGGTATCTCATTGTGGTTTTGATTTGTATTTCCCTGACGATGAGTGATGTGGAGCATCTTCTCATGTGGCGGTTGGCCAGCTGGATGTCTTCTTTGGAGAAGTGTCTATTCATCTCTTTTGCCCATTTCTTCACCGATTATGTGTTTTTTGGGTTTTGAGTTTGATAAGTTCTTTATAGATTTTGGATACTAACCCTGTATCTCTGAATTTTTTTTTAAAGCAAAAGACATGGGTGTCTTTTAAACTAAATATTGTGATGGATGATCAGGAGTAGTGTTCAAAGTAGTGAATCACAGTTGTAGCAATGGGTATTGACCAATCAGAAGGACATCAGCCATGAACAACCAGTACAGTTAGAAAGTATCTATATGGTCTATATGGTACGGTAAAAGTATATATATGATATATGTAATTGTGTGTGTATATAAATTGGACAAAATTTTAATATCAATTGAGCAAAATCCTGCTTGCCACGTAGATCAAGATTCCTCAGGCCCTTGGTGATGGAATCTGTGTGGCAAGTGGCTTGGCTAGTGAGCAGTATCCCTGGCCATTCCCATCTCTGGAATATCTAGAATCCGTCCTCCACCACCATGTACCTCCCACCGTCCCACCCATCTTGGACCTCATCCTCTCCTGCTTGGAACAACCACCAGCATCCTCCCTGGCCCACCAGCCTCCATCCATCTCCCGCATGACCCTGAAGGGGGTTTCTATTGCCCAGATTCAAACCTGCTCCTCTCTGCTCAAGACTCTTCCTTGGCTCCCACTGTCCCCAGGGCAGGGTTCTGGGTCCTCGGCCTAACTTTTGAAATGCCCCTGTTCTGGTGCCTGTCCACCTTCACAGCCCAATGTCCTGTAACATCCTCCATTTCTCAACACGCCCAGCTACTCTGAAACCCAGGGTCATTTCCAGAAAGCACCAGGTTTTTCCACACCTCTTGCCCATGCAATTCTCTCTGCTAGGTACACCCTTCCCTCTTCACCCATTAGTCAGATCGACTCATTTCCAAGAGCCCTGACATTGACTGACCCCTTCTCCTGTGCCGGGCTCTCTTCTAAGTGTTCAACTCGACTGAACTCATTCACTCCACACACACCCTTATGAGGTAGGTACCGTTCCTGTGCCCATTCTGCAGATGAGGAAACTGAGGCACAGGATGAGAATAAGAACGTGCCAACTATAACCGTATGCTAGAATATGAACGAATCTCACGGATAAGACAAAAGCAAATAAAATGCACTAGACACAGAAGAGCAGAAAGGTGTGGAATGGAATAGGATGGACGGAGCAAGGAGGGAGATAGGATAAAGTGAGAAATCTCAGGGTGCCCACTACACAGTACAGGGAAGTGGTATTTCATGAAGTGGAGGTTTCATTGACGAATCCAGAAGGAAAACATCCCATCTCATGGCGAAGGTGCATGGACCAGTGGTCAAGAACAGTTTCCTGAGCCAGGTGACATGGGTTCTAAATTTGGCTCAGCTATTACTAGCTGTGTGTCCTTGCACAAGTAACTTCACCTCTCTGGGCTTCTCTACTCATTTGTAAAATGGGGATAATAATTGTCCCCACCCCATAGGGCTATTACAAAGATCAAATTATTTCGTATCTGTAAAGCACTTAGAAAAATGCCAAGCACACAATAATCGCTGTATAATAAAAGTAACATAATCATGATGATGTTTGAAAATTTGTAAAAACACTGATCTACTGGAACCACAAGGCCTCCTGGGTTCAAATCCCTGCTTGGCCACTTTCTCAGTGTAATTTTGGGGCAAGTCACTTCCCCTCTTTAAAAGGGGGAAAATAGGGGCGCCTGGGTGGCGCAGTCGGTTGAGCGTCCGACTTCAGCCAGGTCACGATCTCGCGGTCCGTGAGTTCGAGCCCCGCGTCAGGCTCTGGGCTGATGGCTCAGAGCCTGGAGCCTGTTTCGGATTCTGTGTCTCCCTCT